AGTCTTGCCACTGCCTTGATTGTGCTGAGGGGACATGGTTGACCATTTCCTATTTATTTAGTAAGCAGAAAACGAGAGAGTTAGGTCCTTTTACCTTTGGTTGTCATCGGGTGAAAGACACACTGTTCTGTTGGCGTGACTTCCTGTATCCCTAACTCTGTAGAGACTCTGAGTTGCCTAATTCCGGGTTAGTGTAGGATTACAAGAAACCCAGGGAGGCTCTGTGACCCTGTCTTCAGATAAAGTGATTACTCAGGCTGAAACTCAATCCTCTTTCTTCCTTGGGAATTTTATTTTGAAGCTAAGTTTGATTTAGTCTTGCACAGTTTCTATGTTCTCAGATGTGATTTCGGAGAGACTGGACCCGCTCTCCCCTTCTTTGAGATGGGATCTCACCTTAACCAGCTGCTTGCTGTCCAGCTTGACTGGTAGGCCAGCGAGCTCCTTGGAACCCATTCCTCTCCTTCTCTGGTATTAGGGTTACAAGTGCATGCCACCGTACACAGCTTCTTATGTCTTGGGATCCCACCTCAGATTCTCATGCTCACACAGAAGCCCTTTACCACTGAAACATCTCCTCTGCCTGTGGTTAATGATTAAAGGGCCTGTGTGCTATCAGTGTTTGGTGGCAATATTGTTAAACACCTCTAATTAATCACAAAACACTTTGATTTTTACACTTAGGGTATAAAGATATCCAACAGTTTTTTTTTTTTATTACAACAGTTAATAGATTTTTCTTTTTTGAAATGTTGCTGGTAAATGTACCCTCTCTCCCTGTTACTGTAGGTCATTGCAGCAAACAAAATCAGCAATACATGTTTTCCAGAATGCAGCAGACTCGCCAGCTGAGAAGAGCTGCTTTGCTGGGCTTGTTTGTTTTAAAGGGATTTGTTCTTGTGGGTCCAATACAAATAGCAGAAGCTAGTTTTTATTTTATTCTTTTAATGTGTATGGGTGTTTTGCCTGCATGTATGTCTGTGTGTGTTAAGCATGCCTCGTGCCCGAAGAGGCCAAAAAAAGGGGCATTGGATCTCCTGGAACTGAAGGTACAGCCAGTTGTGAGCTGCCATGTGGAACCCAGGTTCTCTGGGAGAGCAGGCAGTGCTCTTAGCCACTGAGTCTTCTCGCCAGTCCTACAAGCTGGCTTTGACTAACTCAAAAAGAGATTCTGCTCTCACTGCTGTTTGTAGTAATAAAAGTCTCTTACTTTGTTCTTTTCTGTGCTTGTTTGTGTTTTCTAATAGTGAAGTTGGGATTTCTGGTATTCTGCTTTTTATGTTTAGTTACATTTTTGAATATATTTCCATCCATGTAAATAATTTTGGGGATGTCATTTCAAATCACTTTATAACACTACATCTTGCCTTAGGCTGATTTGTCTGATGTGTCATAGATAGAGCTTCTATGTATTTATTTTGCATGCATATTTAATAGAGATGCTTGATTATTTTCTTCAGATAGTTGGCTCATATAAGAGTTACTGAGTCAGACCACTGGGATGATGTCTGCTGCTGCTTCTTCTTATCCCCTCTTGGTTCACTGGGGGTAAAGCTATTGCCTTTTCTTCCTATTCCTTTGAAAAGCCATCTCCAACACTTACTGAATTAAGTGGACTCTGTGGAAGAGGAGGGATAGTTTGGTTCAGAAAAATCTCACAGGACAGTCGTTGCTAGTCTGTGATCTTAACAACACTAATCAGAAGCTTGGAGTTGTAAAGGCCCTAATGGAAAGATTACCTTTTCTTGACTGCTATGTTGGCATTGTAGTAAAAGGATGCCATAGAAAAGATTGCTTAAAAGTCAGTCTGTTCAGTGCTCAGATTCTGGACCAAAGTTCTATCTGTTCTGTTCTGTTTGCTATGCTTTGCCTCCTGGGGAGTGGAGTGGTGGCCTTGGAGTTTTCAGCTGGGTTTGAGCTGCATTTAAAAACGATGGCAAGTGCTTTGCTCAAGCTTCTGATGAAATCTGTCAGCATGGCAGTCCAGCTGTGGCGTTTGGTGTCACCGTGTGATAGTTTTTGTTTGTTTGTGATTTCACTTCTACCTAGCAGCTGTGGGGTTTTGAGGCAGAATGCCCTGTTGTTGGTTTCTTTGTCTGTGTGCCATGTGTAGTGTTCAGTGTTTTACATCCCATAGTTACTGGGCTTAATGCTCATTATTGCAAGTTCACATTTCCCCCAGGTTTGTAGTGTTCCTCTGTCTGGTGACAACATGTGGCATAGTGTTGTATAGCTAAGGTGCTTTGCTTTGGCATGCAGAATTCCTTTGAGGGAGGAGGCGAGTAGGCGGGCTCTGTACTTACGTGACGTGACTGTGGACTCCATTACCTATGCCCCCTTCCCTTTGTGCTCTTTACTCTGTACCTTTGTTCTCCTTGTCAACCACGGATTGTGGTTTTTATCACTCAGTCTTCTAAGATTTCAACGTGTGTCAACCGTTACCTGGTCCTGTGGACTTGGTGCTCCTCTCAGAGAGGGTGGTAATTTCCTGGAGGCTTGTAGTCTCAAAGGGTGATTGAGACGCCTACGTGAGATTCTTATGTAAAATTTCAGGCACATAGTAAGCTTCTAGCTACTGGCATGTGATGTTTACGAAGAACACAGCTCTCCCCTAGAGGGAGGAAGGGAGTCTATTCTTACAGTAACTCTGAGTGTCTGTGGTTCAGGATGTGGAGACTGGTCACCCAGAATAACATGTTCCAACCTGGAAACAGTGCCAGAGAGTTCATATAGCCACAGAATGGAAGGGAGCCATGAATCCAGCACGTTGTCAAATGAACTGGTAGGAACATCAGGTGGGTGGGTCCCAGCAAGCAGGGATACTTCTATTCCAGGCCTCTTTTGCTACTTAATGACATTCTCAGCTTTTGATTCATAGAAGCTAGTAGTCTGTTATTACCTTCCAAAAGTCTTATGTGATAGTCACAAGGATGTTTTGTAAGACCAAGAGTGAATGGTTGTTACAAGCACCAAAAAACAGACCAAGATAATTTGACTCTGGATCTGCAACATTCCAACTCTCCACAGTAGGTTCAAATCAGTCACTCAGCCTTGTAGAGTCTTACCATAGGTGTGGCTTTTTCTGGGAACTCCAGTTCATAGCGATTATAATGATATAGCACAGGCCTAGTTATAATTTATGTTTGTGCTTTGCTCATTGTTACTCATGAGCTCATTGAAGGAAGTGGCAATGTTGCTGGTTGATGCTCAGGCTGGGTGTGGACTTGTGTTGAATGCAATCTTCTCCTGGGGTTTGGGGTTGGCTGTTAGCTGCGTCTGTGATTACTGCCTGGCTGATCAAGTTAGCTGCTTCAGCTGTGACTCCTGCCTCTCTCGTGCTGGCATCATCATCATACCTTAGCCCATCCTGTCATGTTACTTCATGTCACATCACATGGTCGCATCACGACAATCATCAGTTCACATTGCACTGGGGCTCGTAGTCCTTTGAGGTCCTGACTTCTTTCACACGTGTTGCTGTGACACAGGAACCCTGTGTTCCAAATGCTCTCAGATCCATAGAACATTCTAAAATTCTAAAATGGGTTGAAGGACTTATTTGGGGAAATTGAAGGTGGCTTTGCTCTAGTAAGTTCTGTTTCTGTTGAGCAGTAGCCAAGGGCCTTCCTAATAGCCTGTATTTAACATGTAGTTGTTAAAGAGATGCAGTGTGTAGGCAGCTGCTTCCCTCAGGTGTTCGGGCTGGGGTCAGGCGGAGTGCTCATCGGAGTGCTCATCGGAGTGCTCATCGGAGTGCTCATCGGAGTGCTCATCGGGCTGTGGCTGGAACCAGATGGTGCTGGTTGGTGCAGAACAGCCGTGTCCTTCCTGTGGCTGAAGTCAGAAGGATGCTCAGCTACTGGCATTTTGATTTTAGTCTCAGTCGTACACAGAACAAGGCTGTGGGGAGAGATGGAGCAGAAAGCTGAGCTTCCCTTCCCTGTCCTGGCTCCAGTGCAGCGATGAGGGGCCTTAGAGGAGGGAGTAACACAATACAGCTGTGCACATATACCTACCTCAGGTGCTAGATGAGATTGCTGGAGAAGGGAAGGAGGCGGGCATCTCCAGAAGCAGAACTGTCCTTTAATCAGAACAGCTGAAGGGCTGCAGTCACCCCTCCCCACTGCCACTGGACACATGTAGCATGGGGTCCTGGGGACTATGTAGGATGGGAAAGGGGGGACTTTGGAGATGGCCAAGGCTACCTGGAGTCAGTTCTCCTGCAGTCTGGACATGGTAGATGTCAATGGTTCTGATTTGTGGGTCTCCTCAGCAGGAGCTCCCACAGCTGCTATTAGTGGGGACTTCTCTAGACACCTGGGGCGTTTAGGTCATTAGCCTTCACCAAGGACTCCTCTCAAAAGAGAAGACTTTAGACTATGGAGAACTGTCCTTTGGAGAAGGCGGGATTAGAGCTGCCCTGCATAGGTAAAACTGCATTTAGCATGGTGGGAGATGCCTTCAGTCCCAGCGCTTGGGAGGCAGAAGCAGGCAGATCAAGTTCCAGGCCAGCCTGTGTATTGAGCCCCGGGCCAGCTGGGATTGGGGGGTGGGGTGGGAGGAGGGAGAGGAGGAGGAGGAAAACCTAACCTGTCTGGTTGGGGGCCATGCACCTGTAGGGGTTTCTCTTCTTATGAGTGAATCATACGCAGTCCATCCAAAGAGCACAGATAAAGTGAAGTTCGGGAGAAACTTCCCACCAGTAACAAAATGGCCTGTCAAAACCAGTGTTGATGATAGAGGCTGGAGAAAGTACTTTGGTGCTTCTCCCCAGTGTTACCCAGGCTAGCCCCCTCTGCTGAGAGACAGGGCAGCACATGCTGTGGGGTGCCTCCTTCACACTGTCCTGGGGGCTCTTCTTGCAGAAATCACCTTTGCTCCCATTTCATAATCTGCAGAGAGTTTACTAGATCCTGCCTGGTTACTGTGCAGACAGCGAGGCAGACTGCTCTCTTCCTTTCCAGGCCCCTATGCTAACTCCATGTTTTTATCCTGCACAGGTACTTTTCAGATGGTTGCAGCCTACCCAGAAAGTTGCTGTAGCGAACCTGCAAGAAGTCGATTTCCAGGTAGGAGGGGCTGCTGCCGCCTCTGGAGCTTACCTGTCGCTTGTTTGGTTTGATCTTTGGCCCGCCTGCCCTTATTTGACGAAACGAGTGATTGGCAGTAACAGTTGATCCCAAGGAGTTGCGTCCATTCTTTTTCTCATTCCTTAGAGTACTTGGATAGAAAAGGGGAGGCCTGGAGGCTGCTTGTTTGAAACTTAAGATTCTCTAGATTTCCTGTGCTGTCCAACTCCTAGTTGATATAATTGTTACTACATTTGCTTCTTGAATGCTATGAATTTGGGTAGTTCCAACCCCTTATTGAGAATTTTCTGGTGACAGTCATGTACCATAGTGGCCTGGACTTTCCTAAGCGAGATTTCTTTGAAGTTGATTGATAATAAGGCAGATGGTTTCTGTAACTCCCAGCTTGTAAGCTGTGGAGGTAGAATTTGAACTCACACGTTTGCCTTCAGAGAATGCCTGAACTACTTTGTTCAATTGTTTTTTTTCTTGTTGTTCCCGCCCCCCCCCATTGTTAATTATGCCTCTCCTCTTCTACAAAACAAGTGAATGCTACCCCAGTTTTAGTCTCAAGTAACTTCTGGTTATCATTATTAGTCCTTTGTGTCTGTAGCATTACCTGTTGGCTAAACTCCTTAGCTACTGTGCTCAACACTCCTTCATTTACTGCTGTGTTGTTGGTACTTGGGAAACGTGTTCCTTTTCTCTTTTTTGCAGCTTAAGGGGAAAGAGGAAATGATTGTATTTTACATGTGGTATCATATTCTAAGTGGCAGTTTAGTCTAAAAGCTTCCAACAGTCCTCAGAGACAGTTGAGATACTTCTGCTGACAGATGACGAGGCAGCTCCAGCATTGTGCGGTCTCACAGCCAGGGTCTCTGGGACACAGGCACCGTGAGGGCTAGAAGCACACCCATTGGTTCTTCAGGGACAACTTGTAGTGGGTGCGACACAGTGGGGGACAGGGCAGCAGTTTAGAGGGACAGTGCTTGCCCTAGTGGATGTATGGCTCTGCGGGGGACATCCCTCATTTTATTGTTGTTAACTTGTTGACATCTGTATATTCAAAATACAGCTCTGTCAGTCGCACATCCTAAATACTAGAGTGGACAGCCAGCCGTGTATTATATTCTGGTCTGCCAGCACTGGCGAGGTAGGGTGATTTGTGTTATGAATCCAACTCAAAAGCATGTCTAGACAGAACCAAATGTGTAATTATGTAAAACTCACAGCTAAGGAATTCTGGCTGAACAACTTTAATAATTATCAGCAACTTTGACTTTTTCTATTACTTTGTATCCTTACAGTGTAGCCTTTTATTGTAGAAGAGTTATTTTTAGACAAGACAGGATGTCTAAGATGTGTTATGACTCTAATTTTTAAAGTAAAATGTATCTTTTATCCAAACATCCTAATGTTTCTTGGTTTGTAGAATTGAGTAAATTTGAATAAGAAACTTGCTATCAGCATTAGGGTTGAGCAGAGACTCTTTTGAAACCCCTGGAATAGGACATCAGAACTTGCCATCCTCAGCAACTTTGTTGTCCGTGGAGACTGATGGTACTCTGTAAAGTGCCCAGACGGTGCCAGTCTCCATCCAAGCCACATTTCTTGCCTTGTCGTGTACTCTAGGCTGTCTGCTCTCACCCTCTGGCTCCCAGCCTTAGTTCTGCACACTAGAGAGTGGCCAGTATCTCTTCTATCACCCTCACACAGGCTTTCGGAAGCCAGCAGATGGAGTTTGCATTGTGGGTTTCTGAAATGTCATAGATTCACCGTCTCTTCTCTTGAAACTGAGGCTTTACATCCTTCTCTTCGAGTTGTATAATGTATGTGTGGGTATCTGTCTCTCTTTAACACTGTCATTTGATGACACAGTTTTTAATAGGGCACCTTTGCCGTTCATGGCTACTTATTTTGTGTCTTGGGAAGCCTGTTCCCTTATCCTAAATATATTCTGTTTTCTTCTTATACCTTCTTGACCTGCAGACATCCTACAATGTTTCATTCTGGAAACCCTACTCAGTCCAGTGAGAGGCGTTTGTATGGCATTCTGTAAGTGAGGGCTTGAAGCACCGGGAATTTGGTCCCTTTCTGATTATCAGGTTAAAGATGTGTTAGGTCCCAATCTGTAGCTAGTGCTTTGGTTAAAAACTTTTTTTGGGTGGGGTTAGGGGAAGTATTGCTTTTGGAAACTGACTGACCCTTTGGTGACTGGGCTTTCTGTTCTAAGAAGCCAGTGGTAGGAAGTGTGTATGTGCCATCATCTAGGGAGACGCCATGTTCTACTTAGCTGACCTGGAGGAAGTTGAGGCAGAACTGGGCAAGGAACGCATTGCACGCCTGTAACCTCAGCACGTGGTTAGAAGGACTACACAATAAGACCCTTGCTGGGCTGCTTGTGGTTGTTGAATTTGGAGAATCAAATTGATGACATGGTTTAGCCTGGTTTAATTTAATTTGATACTTTTTGTTTGTTTGTTGTTTTTGAATCAGCTCGGTCCCGGGGCAGAACGTACTCTGGATTTAGTTCCATTGGAGGCATCTGGGCTCGCTAGCATCCGCATTTTCTCCCCATGTTGCAGTAACCAATAGGTGGATGTGGGGACCACAGTTTGCCAGCCAGTCTTCTCAGTCTCTTGGTGTCCCCCAAGTACTGACAAACAGATAACAAACACTGTCATCCTATAATGCAGTTGGTTCTGAGGTGCTTTAGGGGAGAAGGGAGAGCCCCACATGTATGTACAAGAATGGATACCCAGGGTCCTTCCTATGCTACTTGGGTATTGGAAGACAAACAAGACAGGGAGAAACCAGGGCGGCAACCAGAGTGAGCTTCTCTTTGTTATCATGCTGTGTCCTTTAGATTTCAAGGTGAAACTCATTTTTACCTTTGCGCAGGAGTTCATGCTTTGATTTTTGGCTGAGCTGGTAAGTACAGTGCCAGCAGCATGAATACTCTGGTGACAGCTCAGAGCTGGTATTTCCCGTGCTGCCCACTGCCCACTGAGCAGTGTCTGGGGGAGTGGCAAGGTTGCTGGGCAGTCTGAGGACCAAATAAAGCAGATTCCTCTCTCAGGAAACATTAGCTTCAGTTGACAACTCTCAGAGAAACTGGGACAGTTCCCGGACCACTCCTCACTCGCTGAGATAAGCAACAGCATTAGGAGAACCTGGGTGAAGGCAGAGGTAATAAAACACACTGTTCTAATTATGTCTGCTTAGCAGGGTTATATTACATTTTGCTTATTTAACCCTGCAGATGGTGCCTAAACTAGAGATTTGTATTCATTATAACTAAATTAAATGACTTTTTTCAAGAATGGTGTTTGTTTAGCTTAGTGTTTGTTCATCACTACTTTTGAGGAACATGGGTATTTTTAGTCTCAGACATGTTGGTCTTTTTTTTTTTTTTTCCTTTAAAAGGATTTGTGTGTGTGTGTGTGTGTGTGTGTGTGTGTGTGTGTGTCTGGATTGGTGTAGTCTTTGAATCCCCTGGAATTAGAGTTGTTGGTGGTTGTGAGCTGTCTGATTTGAGTGCTGGGAACTGAGTTCAGGTCCTGCAAGAGCAGCAAATGCTCTTAAACACAGAGCCATCTCTCTGGTTTCTGAACAGTTAGTTTATAGTGAACTGTTTTATATTGTTCACAAGCACTAAATTTAGTAGCCTTTTCTTAATTTGGTTGCTCAGTGTGTATTAGTTTTTATTTATTTATTTTTTAGCTCTCCATGCTGGGGAATAGAGTTAGGATTCCACACATTCTAAGCACTGTAGCACTGTCCTAGACCCCATATTTTGATAACAGTCTTGTCTTTTATTGTATTACCTACAGGAACACTTTCTGGACTTTCGGGGACAACAATTGTAATTGTCACATGAAACTAGCGGTTCTCATTCATTGCTGTTTGTGTCTCCACTCAGGCAGCATTAATTTCTGTTGCTGGTTGATCCTTTTAGCCAAGGTATGGATGTGTAGGTATTTACAAAATGTACCCCAGGGTGTTCTGCATTGGCCAAGTGAGTACTGACTGCTTTTTATAGGTAAAGAACTCTCTTGCTTGTGTAACTGTCAGGTCATTTGCATCCAGCAATATTATCTTAACTATATGTATGTTCATGTGTTGAGTACAGCATTAATCATTTGCTGTTTCTTTGATCAATGATGGAGCTGACTTTTTTTTTTTTTGGTGTATAAAATAGTTGATGTTGTCATGTTTAGTGCAGAGAGCACTTCCTAGTAAAAACAGCACGCAGAGCCCAAATCTATCTAGAAGTGTAATGGTTTTATAAAAGTGGATTGTGTTAGACTTTCAGTATATGTATGCAATGGCTGCCACTGATTGACAACCGAGGCACCGAACCCTGGCCCCTTTTCTAGGACATCATATAATGCTGAGTGGGGGTGGGTGGGGTGGAGTAGGTCCATTAAGGCTTTGTGTATGGCTGACACCTAGCTCTATAGGTGCAGATCTTGCCCTCACCAGCTTTCTGACCTTGGCAAGTTGCTTAACACTGCTGTAATTCTTCTTCTGCAAAATTGGTAATGACCAAGCAAGCAGTATGTGCCTGATAACTGAAGGTTTGTGTACAGGAAATGCTGAGAACGGTGCCTGGCATGTACATCAGATGAGTAATACTGAAGTAGGTAGGTGTGTTATGTGTGTCACAGGGATTCTCCTGTAATCGGTTTCTATTCTCTTTAAACGCATCTGTGATATTTGCAGGGTGACTTTCACAATGAGTGCTGCCCTAGGTTTTGGGGGCATTCAACAATAATGAAAGGCATGGTTACTACTTGGGAAGCTTGAACCTTTTGTTTCTTTCTTTGTTTTTAAAGCACTCAAAAGGTATGAGCAGAATGAAGTTGTTAGAGCAATGTAGAAGTAGAAAGTCCCCAAGTCTTCTTTAGTGCAAACGTGGAGGATGAAGAAATATGAAATGCTGCTGTCCTGTAGGACAGAGTGCAAAGTCCCACCGTGGAACTTCCAGCTTTGCATCT